ATCACTATGGCTGTTTCCAGAGGGCATAAGTACTGTAGGGACAGTAAGTTCACTTGCTCAAGGAAAAGAATTTGGCTCCAGGCCAAGGACCGCGTGGTCATGTTATAATCTTTTATATACTATAAGACAGCAGAATACTGTTAGGTTTCAAACCTGGGACACATGGCTGAGGTGACTCTTTAACATAGCAAAGCAGACTTGGCTACCAGCTTCCCTCAGCATTCCTCTGTATTATATCTCTGTATTATATAATTATATTAATAATAATAGTGCCTACCTATTAAAGCCCCCCCATACCCCACCCCTACTCTAAATTCTCTTTAGCCTAAGGGATAGGCTGTTCCCCCCTCCCCCCCAGATGACCTTCCCTATGTAATTCAGCCATTTTGGTTACCAGTTCTCTCTTTGGGGCCTCGTGGCTGCTGTACCTGGTTCCCCTACTTTCCCCTTTCCTTCCCCTCCCCCATCTCTTCACAGGGCTCAGGATCATGTCCGATCTGGGCTCTCCTAGATGGCCCTGCCTCCACCTGTCTCCACCTTTGCTCTTCCTTTCATCTACAATAAATGTTCTCCTTCCCCATACCTAGGGGCAGTCATGTCCTTTGGTTTGTTTCTTTCGGTTTTGGTTTTTTTTTTTTTTTTTTTTTTTTTTTTTTTTGGGTCTAACTGCCTGTTTCTCCGTTGTCTCTCCAAATTTTCGGTTGCATTATTACCAGCCCCGAAAAACCCACACTTCAGTCATTACAGTCTCCTTTATTACCGTGTGCGTCCCAGTCTTGGTCAATGTCAGCCGTTACGCAACCCGGCCTCTTTGCCTCTACACCTACTCTGGATTGGTGGTGACTCCAGGCCCCAGCATCCCAAGTCAGATGTGCCCCAGAGGCCATCTGCGCTGACCTCCCATTGTAGGGCAGCGCTAGTTCCTCCTTCCTGTCTTGTCTGAAAAGTACAGCCTTCCGTGGCAATGCATCTTCTACCGTCTCTTCCAACCAGCTGTGGCCCGATGCTTCAACCAAGTGCTTAGAATTTCTTCTGAAGGCGAAGGCACATGTTTGTTTTCTGGAGGGTATCCTCAAGGCCTCTCCTGTCAGTCTGTCTGTCTACCCTGGTGGTACGTGTACAACGTCTTCTGACTGTCAATTCTAAAGGGAACTCCAGTTCCCCAGACTCCAAAAAAAAAAAGCAATCCAAATACCCAGAACTGAACTCAACCTGGACTACAGAAAGGTTTCTGGTGGTTAGATAAAAGCCAACATTCCTCAGGAACTTGAGAAACTGGTTCCCCTCTGCCTGAAGAGCCTCTGCCCTTACCTCCGGCAGAAGTAACATCACCTGTGGCACCAGGCCCCTTCAGTATCACAAGAACCTGTTATCCACGTCAAAGACCATGCCACTCCCTAGCCCTTCTCACCTCTGCCCCAACCTTAAACTCCCTCCTGCTGGCAGCTCCCCTCCCCACAGGTACTCCCTCTCCCTGTGATCTTACTATTCTTGCTAATTCTCCCCTAGCCCAGCTCTGCTCTGCTCCTGTTTCTCTAGCTATGCTTTTCCCTGTTCTCTATACCCTACCTTCTCCCCTCTCTCCCAGACAGCCCTCGTCCACCATGTCCAGTCTGTTGGCCATGCTCAGTCTGCTTCTTTCTCTTTCTGCTCTGGGCTCTTCCAGGTGCCTCTGGCTGTTCTCGCTCTCATATCTACAGTAAGGATTTTATTATCGGTTTATCTACTTGGCGTTAGTTTTGTATGTAAACTACTTTCCAGCCCTTCTAAGAGGTTGTGTTGGCTGTGGCACCTTCGTAGCTGGTTTGTCTGGCTTGTTTTCTCAGTCAGCCTTCCGCCAGCCCACGAGTCTGGAGCCTGGATACACAGGGTGAGCGGGGCTCAACATTTGGGTTGTTTGTGAAAACTCCCCTAGTGGTTTCAACAGCCCACTCAGGAACCACCGCTCTCACCTGCCCCGCCCTTAGTGCCGTGCAAGGAAATGTCTCAAATAGCAGTCACATTGTGTTTATGAAGGGTGTTAAGTCATTTTCCAGAGCCTGGCGTTGTGACTCTTAACTGGGCAGCCCAGCCTCTTGCTGCCTCTTTGGCAGACTGATCTCCTTGCGTTCTTCGTCTCCCTGACGTACACAGAGAGCAGACGTCCTATCAAAGAATTTTTGTGACTTTTTATAGATATGAGGAGCGATTTTCCACAGAGACACTGAAAATTGGAAGTCTTTGGTTTACAGAACCATTCTGCTAGGGCCTGTATAACGCAATCTACCGCCCCAAAGCCAGACTGCCTTCTCATTCATTAGCTAACTATGTTGAGTTTAGAGAGACTTCCTGGTAAGGATTTGTTGTAAGGAAATCCAAAGACTCCCTGAAAGAGATGCCTGAAGGGCTGCCCTCCTCACTGCCCATGGCCTGAGAAGAACAGGTCTTGGCTATGCCCTGGAGCAGAGGATTGGGTCCCACCCACTACTCTTTCCCAGCCAGTGATTGCTGTGTTGAATGAGTTGCGACACTATTTGTCCAGTGAGTCTGTCTTGCCCTTTGGGTCAGCCAGGGTCTGATTCTAATCAAAGTTCCTTTCTTCTCCTTTACCAGAAAAGACATTTAAAACCCTCACACAAAAGAAGGAAAATTAAAAGAGAAACAAAAGAATCATACTGAAAGCACTGGAATATAAGTGAGTTACAGGATGGAGCGGAAAATTTTTCTTTTCTGTGTGAGCAAGACTGGGGATTTCTTTCAGGGGATATCCATCCGCCAAACCACAGCGAAGATCCTTCCTAACAAATGGGAAGAGAAGTTGACGCTGCTACTGTGTCTTATCTCGTCCCGATATTTATTAAAAGGAAAGCGACAGAAAAGCCTGACCTGGTGTTTTCCTGAATGCACTGTTATCTCTCCCACTCAGCCCACAGTCTTAGTGATGCCAAGGGCGTGTCTCAGCAGCACTTCCTCTCCCGTGAACTTGGAAGGATGGGAATGTACTGGAGCGAAGTCCACATGCAGAGTTCTGTGTGCTTTGTGGTATTTGCTTGGTTGACTTTTGGTTTTGTTTCTGTCTTGAGACAGGGTCACAGGGTCTAGCAATGTAGTCCAGGCTAGCCTGGAACTTGTGAGCCTCCTGTCTTCCAAATACAGACACACTTACACACACACACACACACACACACACACACACACACACATACACACACGGCAAAGAGACAGAGAAAAAAGACCATGAGACACTGAAAGTGATGGGGCAGCTGGTGACACAGAGGAGCCTTTTGGAGAAACAACCTTCAGAGCCCCTCCCTCAGGAAATCTCCCGAGGACTTTCAAATCAATTCTCAGAACAAAGAAGATATCCACCCTTTAATAACCTGATGGGGCATTGGGAAGTCGTGTCAGGTGCTTTAGTTTAGCATGGACTGTTTGACAAGGAGCCTGGAGGAGCCAGCATAGTAAAAAGCTATTATGTATGCTGGGCACTGGTGGCCCACGCCTTAAATCCCAGCATTCGGGAGGCAGAGGAGGGCAGAACTTTGTGAGTTCTAGGCCAGCCTGTTCTATAAGAGCTAGTTCTAGGACAGGCTCCAAAGCTATAGAGAAACCCTGTCTTGAAAACAAACAAACAAAAAGCTATTGTGTCTGTCAGAGTACAGACTGCTTTTTAGCTCCCTGTTCCAGAGAGAGCTGCTGAAAGGCATGGTTTAATTCAGGCTGTGAGATCTGGCCTAAAGATGCAGCCCCTCAACCCCCCCCCCCCCCCCCCCCCCCCCCCCCCCCCCCCCNCCCCCCCCCCCCCCCCCCCCCCCCCCCGCCCTGACCCTGACATTAGAACAAATACCCCTCCATCTGGCCAGCTTGCAGATGAGGGACTGATGTCACAGCTAACAGCTTTTTGTAGAGAACTTAGCTCTTCCCATCAGTTTGTTCTCTCCAGTAACATTAAAAGATTAAGTGAGGAAGCTTGTCAGTGGTCCCTGCTTTGAGGAAGCTGAGGCAAGAGGCCAGCCTGAGCTACGTAGTGATACTCTGTTTCAAATGAGAGCAAACAGAAGTCTCTTTGCAATAGGTATTTGAGTTCCTGGTATTTTTAAACAACAGTAAGGGAGGAACTGGGTAGAGGCAGGATGTCCATGCTGATTTTAGCAGTTACAGTGACCACACCATTGGACCCCTAGACTTTTAACTGAACAGCCTTACACTCACTTATGGCCAATTTTTAACAGATGCCAAGAGCCTTGGCTTTGCCACTGGGACTTTGCCCGGACACATCTTCCAAGCTCAGACTATGTTTAATGAGAACAGCCTGATACAAACTGGCGGGTAAATAGGAGCATGCGCAGTAGGATTGAAAGCTAGGACAGTGTGTTTCCCAAAGTTCCTTCCTCATCTCAGACATTTCTGATACCATCGAATCTTTCTTATCAGCTCTGAAAACACCAAAGGTCCCCCCATTGTCTCTGTTGCCACCAGCAAGCAAGATAAACTAATTTGTACCAACACAGTGCACGGAGCACATCGGCTGCTCATTCTCTCTGCTGGAGTGCATGGCAACCTTGTCTCCAAAGCAGAGTGGATCTCCAATGGGGCCATTCCATTATTCTGCATTACACCCTGGGGGAGGTCACGTGCCTGCAGCACTTAGCTGTTGGTCCAGGGCCCTACTTGCCTTCTCTCTGACAGCACATGGGCCCAGAGCAGCTTTTTATTAACCAACGGTAATAAAATATATTCACACCGTACAGAGGGGAATCCCACATCACACCTTTGCTTCTGATGATTCAGGCTTCACTATATAGATTCCCTAAATATATAAAATATATGGGCTATATTTAAGGAATCAGCAGGCAAACACTGCTGATCTCTGTGCTGTCCCCTGGGAATCACAGGACCGTATTTCCAGCATCCTCCTCTGGCTGGTGACTTTGTATTATACTGACCCTTACAATAACCCCCCATAGAATAAAATCAAACAATCAAGACCTTTGGGGCAGCCGGGACACAGAGGTCCTTACCAGGGGATTCTGAAGTAGAAAGCCGTACTCCTCAGAAATGTGGTATCTTCCCAAAGTCAGCGGCGTCACCAGCTTCAAAGTCTGCCTTTGAGACTCCATATTCTCGCTTGAGGTATCCATCTGCCTGCGCTGAGGAAAATGACTGACTAGGAGAAATGTCCCAGCTGTCCGCTTTTGACTTCGTCCAGCTGCGTGCTGCTTTGGCGGCGGCAAGGAAGAACCTTGCCCAGAGGTTGAATTCCAGGATGACCACAGCTGTTCTCAGACAACGCCAGGTAAACAGCGAAGATTAGGAATTAAAACACATAAGCAAACAGACTGACTCTAAGAGCCTCCCTGCTTTTCCTGCCTTATTCATAAACTACGAGAAAGTTGCCTTTAAACCCAGGCATGAAGAGCTGAACTCTGGAAAGGGAAAGATTAACGACTCTCAGTTGTGGTTGCTCAGATCCACACCCAACACTCAAGCGTTCGGTTCCTGAGGAATTCTTAAAACTTACTGGCCTTTTATCTTTACTTATATTGATATGGAGTTACTACATTCTTCTTTTTAAAAATGTATGCACTTATTGAAATTAAAACTTACCATCTCCCCTTTCCCTTCCCTCCCTCCAAGCCCTCCCATGTCCCTCCCTTGCTCCCTCTCTAATTCATGGCCTCTTTTCCTTTGTTGCCATTACATATATGTACATAAATAGATAAATACAACCTCTCAGTCTGTTTAGAGTTACTTGTATGTGTAAGATTTCAAGGCAGACCTCTTGATATGCATAAGCATACGCAAGGGAGGTACAGTAAAGAAATTGCTAACAGGACTACTCTATAGTATGGTTAAGGGGAAGTTTTTGTTTGCTTGCTTTGTTGTGTGTGTGTGTGTGTGTGTGTGTGTGTGTGTGAGAGAGAGAGAGAGAGAGAGAGAGAGAGAGAGAGAGAGGATATCTAGAAGCATCTGGAAGAATTCAGAGAGAGAAAAAAGTAGCCTGATCATGGCCGGCACACTGGACAGGTGGGCAGGGCAGAGCTGTCTGGGACAGGGGAGAGGACAACAGGGGACAGAGACTAGAAAAAACAGTGTGGATAGCAGGAGTGGAGAATAATGAGAAGAACTGTGTTATAAGATGGATGAGCAGCTGGGGTGGAGCGGTGGGAAGTCCCTGAGCTGGAGAGGATTTAGGAGGAGGTGAGAAAGGCTAGGATGCCAACATGGATTTTGAAATATGTAGCAGGTCCTGGTGATTCTGAGGGAGCCTGGAGGCCAGCAAGGACTTTGATAGGCAACTGCAGGTAGCATATGTCCCTTCTGCCAGAGGTAAGGGAAATGACTCCTTTCGGTAGAGGAGAACCAGCTTCACAAATTCCTGAGGAACGCTGGCTTTTATCTAACTGCCAGAAATCCTCCTATAGTCCAGACTGAACTCATTTCTGGATGTCTGAATTGCCTTTTAGAGTTTGGGGAACTGGAGCTTCCTTTGGACCTGAAAACGTTGGATAACCAATCAGGAGGCTCGTCCCAGGGGAGACCATTTCTCCTGTTCCAGAGAAAACTTTTAGAAGTAGAAATTGCCTTGTTGGTGGGGAGAGGCAGGAGGAAGAGTCCAAGAGCAAAATGGGAACCCGAGGAAACTGTGGGTTTGGAAGAGTAGTCCAGGTCCTGCTTCAGTGTGCTCCAAAAGGGGGCACTGACTACTGCGTGACACTTTTGATCCCATTAAAGGATGACCAGATATTTAAATGTTTGCTTTTCAATTACACTTTCTTTTTAAAAAAATTCTAGAAAATATTCTATAGTTTATTTAGTAAATTCTGGTTATGGTTTTCTGTTCCCTAACTCCTCTTAAATCCTCTGTTAGGAAAAATCCTAAGACGAGCCACTCCGCCGGCACAAAGAAATACAATCAAACCAAATTAAAATGCCCAAGTCTTAATAAATTCAGCATTCTTGGGTGACTGAGAGCATGGCAGGGGACACAGAAAACTGGGGAGCACATGCAAAACCCAGGGCCACGTCTTCCGCTTCTGGGTGCCCACTTAAATACCCTGTGAGAGTGGTCCTGACCCTCCCCTAGGCATGCTGGGATTTGGAGTCCAGACCAATGCAACTCCCAGGCCAGGAGGCTGTGATGGATGCCATGGGCTGGGGTGACACTCCCAACTTAACATTACATTCTCATGTTAGGATATTTCCTAATATTTGGAGGTTCCACTGGGGGGGTTCATTTTGTCCTGCAGGCCCAGGGTCTAGGGCCATGCTTGAAAATGCCCTTCTCGTGGGCTCCACCAGGCACATCGGCTTCACTTAGTGAGTTCCCCTTTTTAAACTGCATGCTAGAAGGGTTTTGGGGGTGACCCGTTTACTTTTTGGGTTTTTGTTGAAGTCTCGGTCATGCCAAAAGCCTCATACACACGCAGCAAAGGCCAGGCCTTCGCTGAGATGCGATTTGGGGCAGGGAGACGTCCCTGGCCAACTTCTCATGGACCCCAGATTTTTTGACTCAGTGCTCCTGATCTGGGAGTCCCCTCTGTGTGCTGTGATCACCATTAAAGAATAAAGAAACTGTTTTGTACCTATAGCAAGGCAGAACTTAGGTAAGTAGGGAAAGCTAGGCCGAATGCTGGGAGGAAAAAAGGGCAGAGTCAGAGAGAAGTCACGGAGCTGCCACCGGAGACCACCACTATAGACAGAACTTATCTCTGAAATTTCCTGCTTTGTGGAAAAGTCTGCTGGATACCATGTGCCTGTAGGCTAAAGATGGATACTCCAATGGTACAGAAGAACTTTGAGTGACTGTCCAGGCAGCGAGAACCCCAAATCCCAGCATGCCAGGTCCTGACCCCTCCCCAGGGAAGGAGTATTTAAGTGGGTTGCCCAGAGGAGGAACATGTGGTCCTAGGTTTTTCATGTGTTCCCCAGTTTTCTGTGTCCCCTGCCATTCTCTCAGCTACCCGAGAATGCTGCATTTATTAAAACATGGGCATTTTAATTTGGTTTGATTTGACCTGATTGTATTTTTTTTGTACCAGCAGAGTGGCTCGTGTGAGCATTTTTCCTAACACCCTCCCCACATCCACACCCACCCAAATCTACACCCTCTCTTTCTCTCTCGTTAGAAAACAAAGAGGCTTCTAAAATAATAGCTAAAACAAAATAAAATGAGAACAAAGAAGTGTAGCAGGCTAAGGCATTATAGTTACACCATCTCATGAATGTGTTCTTCAGAATAGTGCTAAAACTGACCTCTGTTCTCTTGGACCAGCCCGAAATTCCTTTGGTAAACTGGTCTCTGGACTGACCGCTACAAACTCCTACAGCGTGGGACTCTGACCTGAAGGTTAACTGCCTGCCGTTTAACTGCTATCTCTCTACCTCTGCAAACAATCCTTGCTAGTTGGAGATGCTTTCTGTATGGGTCACTGAATGAAAAAACAAGAACATGATCCCTCCAAGGTGGGGTGGAGGAGAAGTTTTTTATTGTAGATATGAAAGAGAGAGCAGTCAGAGGCATCTGGAAGGGTCCAGACAGAACCAGACCATGGGGGGAGAGGGGGGCAAGCAAGAGAGGAAGAAAAGAGAGAACACAGATGGACGAGAGAGGACCCACCCAGCTGAGGGCCGTGTTCACTCTGAATCTCACAGACATCCCCTGCCTCTGGCTTTGCTCTTCCCCTCAGCTACAATAACCCTCTCCACCACACACCTAGGACCACTCACATCCTTCCTTATTTTTTTAATTTCTTTTTTCATTCCCCATCATTTTACAATTCCAGCCATGTTATTTTCATCTAGACTCCTGCGCCCTCTCAAGAATTGTCTTGAACATTATAAAGCCATCAAGTCATAAAATACAAGAACTGAAAGAGAAAATATAGACGACTAAATTAAAAAGTGTTATACGAGTAACCCAAGATTTACTGAGTGAAATGGTTTGTCATGTGGTGCCTGGGGAGCTGGTTCCTGTCGGGGACCTGCCCACTGTAAACTCAGGTCACCCGCCCGTGTGGCCTTTTGACAGGAGAATTACAATTCCCTAACATCTGTTTTACACATTTCCAGAAATAGCAATGTTCATGGTAGAGACATTGCGCTGAGCACATGAGAAATCTTGAGAGGAACAGCGGCTTGAGATAGCCAGCGCCACTTTTCTTCACGTTCTCCCTCTGGCTGTGTGTCCGATTTCTTTCCCACGGTGCTAGCAGCTTCTTCCTGAAGCTACACACGTCACGTCTGAACACCCAGTTGCCCGCGGCACTCTTTGGCCATCCTCTGGCCTTGGTGGCCTTAGGCATTGTGCTCTTACCGTCACCACCAATTTTACCCTCAGCTTCTGTCTTGATTTTGTCACTCTGAGGTCCAGACCCACGTCGTTGGGAGGTCTGTGAATATTTCACTCAGTGGAACAAAGCCCGCGCATGGCTGTACAGATGTCCATTTCTAGCTGTACTCAAGCCATCAAAAAACAATGCACGGCCCACAAATAACCAGAACTCGATTCCCTTCCTTTGTCCGTGTAGAGCGTCTCCCATCGCTGACAGACTTCCTGCTTGTCACCATACCTGAATTCTACTTCTCTCCTAGGAGCCTCCCCATGCAGACGCTTCCATGACTTTGCAGAATTGTTGTCTCCTGTCAACATTCTACAACCGGCTTGTCCGTTTAGCCCACTGATCAGGCTCTGCCGGATTTCGTTATTGCTAATGCGCTCACCTGGTCTCTCCCTTTAGCCTTCTTCAGGACAGAACCCACCCCTGCCCACTTTCAGTTACCAGCCAGCCCGGTGTTTGGAACTGAAGAGATGTTTTCTAGCTGAGCTACTTCTCAGCCTCATTGTGGAGTTCGCCTTTTTATAACAAAGACCTTGGAATGCGGGACATGTGCTTGTCCGTTTTACTTCTTTATTTACGTGTTTACATTTATTTTTAATGTAGTTACTTTGTAGAGCTGTGGATCAAACCAAGGGCCTCACAAGGGTTAGGCAAGTAATTAACACTCATTTATACCACCTACCTTGATTAAAAAAAAAAAAAACTACACTTTAGACCCAGACCCAGAAACTTGCCCAGCAGAAGGGAACCCAGGCCATCCTGTATAAAAACACTGCCTGCTGTCTTTTTTGGTTTATGTCTTAGAAGTTAGTTGGTATGTACAGGAATTTCCCTCCTTGGGTTTCATATTCTGCATTTTTATGAATCATAGTAGTTCTGTACACAGCAAGGCTTTCACTCCATGGAGAGCA